TGTATTTGTCCTGCCAAAATGCATTTGGTTAATGTTCTGTTTCCTCTCAAACCTATACCTGTATGGGATCACTTGCCAGATATGAAGGATTTGCTGTTATCTAGGATGTAATAACTGCCCTCCATAGGATAGGATTTGTGTAGACATCACCTTGGTCAATACTACCTATGGACAAAAAATATGATTTCTGAATGCTGTGATTAATATTTGGGCAACCAGCTCTTCCCATTATGATCCTTGTCATATCAAGCAGGTTCATTGCTAGCTACTGCTTGATTCCTTTTTCCTGCCTCGTTTTGTCCCAACTCGATTCTTGAAGTTGTGTCAATCACTGTTTTGTCAAGGTGTTACAGGTCTGTTACCGTATCTGCTTTGTCCATCATTATATTTGCCAGGAATGCCCTGGCAGAGAAATATATAATACTCCTTGGAGTTAAGAAAATATTATTCTGGCAAGTGGCAAATTATAGGCAATTATTGCATAATTTCAGAGCGAAGTGAGCAGTTATTTGCCCAGAGGGAACATGAAGTAGCCATGAAGGAAAATGACCCCATGTATCTTGAAAGAAATTAAAAAGTAAGAATCAGTGACAATTAGGGTGCCTCAAGTGTCATAAATCTCTCCCTTCTGTTTCTTAATTTCAAATAGGATGGCTAAGAAAGTAAAGCATTTACAAAGGAAGGTGTTAAAAATCTAAATTCTACTGCTACAGTAGCTACCGTCACATGCTCACAAATAGCCTGGCAAACCATCTAAAGTACTGTTGTATCAAGAAAGTTGAAATTATTTTCAAAGCCATGACTGTTAGAAAAAGTGGCGTTAATGGAGAAGGAAAAGCAGTAGCAGGATAATCTATTTATAGAGGTTTCAGGCTATCTGCCTACATATACAGTGATTTTTTTTTCCTTTGTGGTAATAAAAAAAAGTCAAAACAGGCAATTTTCTAGACAAGTAAATGAATGGGTATAATGGTTTATGGCATTTCAAAAATATAAATGAACACACAGAATGTCCCATTTGCTCATAGTATGATCTTAACACACGTGAATTCTGTTAACAGAGACTAAACAAAAATAACATCAGAAATACGCAAACCGAAACAATGTTTAGATCCTGCCCACAACCCACCATTCATGCCTGGGATCTATGTGTGGATTGTAGACCTGCATGCCTTTTGCAAGAACCAGTTACAGATGGAAGAGGTAGAAACTCCCAGAGAAGATAATTTCCACACATAATGTGCCTTATCGTTTTCTATCTCTCTGCTACTCCTTCATGTTCGTTTTATTGATTCCTTTAAAACAAATTTATCTGCTTTCATTTAACCATGCATCCAGTCCTGTTGATATTTCTTTTTACTCGTTCTTCATAGCTTCCTGAATCCTGTTCAACTTTCTCTTATTTTTATAAATGGAATAACTAAAGCCCCACCTAAACCTCTGAAACACTTCCTTAGGTAGATGGACACTATGATCATTTGTCTTCAGTGTAATTATAAGTCACATAAAGGAGGGAGGATGCATTCCTATACCTTTTATCTCCTGTCCAGTACACATGGCTTAGTCACGTTCAGAGATTTGGTACATTAGGTAATTAGCACTCAGTGTCTGCACGCGAGAAGCATGTATCTGTGGTGGGGAGGAGGACAGTGGGTGAAGGTAATTTTTCTACAAGTTGTCCTCACACTGACAATCTGTTGTGGAGCAGACCTGACCAAGGCAAATGTCGGGTTGTGCATCATTTTGTCAGTGCATTGGGGAACGGGTGTGCTTCTGATGGAGTCCTGGAGGGGTACTTCTTCTTTTGGCTAAGAAGCAGTTTAAGCAAATGTGGGAAGGTTTTCTTTGAGTGTGTGTCACCCTGCTATCGAGACCTCTTGGCAACATAAATTCAGGTTAACTGTGCATACAACCCCTGAGAGCCTGTGTTGATAATCTTCCCGTGGGTTCACAACTCACACCTTACGCCTCAGGGATGGAGGGACAGCCATTCTGGCTCTTCCTGATCATGCATGTCCGGGCTTCTATTCTGAGAGGTTGTAATTACTATTATGATATTTTAGCATAACATGGTCCCAGACCCCTTTTCCAACTCCATCCAATATTTATATTTTACACTGTACTTTTTTCAAATTAGACTTCTCTCTGTTCTCCACACAAGCTGTGTGCTTTCACATCCCCAGGCTCTGTTTAAGCTCCTATCTGTCCTACCCATGTCTCTACCCATCTAATTTCTCCTCTTTCTTCAAAGCTTCCTAAAGCCTTTCTCAATCCTCTATTCAGAAATGATTGCCTCCTCTTGTGCCCCAATAACAGTTTTTCTCTTATGACATTTTCACAGCCTGATTTATATGATCGAATCTTGTGTTTATTCTTGATCTATTCACTAACACTATTAGCAAATTGAGGGTAGGACCAATACCTACATTGCCTTTGTATATTCCTGAGTACCAGTGCTTTATTTTTTTCATTGTTTCCATACACACAGGTACACACACACCCATACACACACATACTTACTTTCCCTTTCTTTCCCGTTCTCTCTCACAGATAGTTTGTACATGGTCTTATAATATAAATCTCTACTCAGAAATCTCATTAATATCTGATAGATCATTGCTACCTTCTCTCCTCCCTCCACCATATTCTGAGAAGAATTAATAGCTAAATTAACTTAAAGAGTACCAGTGAAATTCTCCTCTGGCATGGTTCAACCCTTTGTCTGAAGTAAATGTAACTCGACTTCCAAAAATAAAGAGGGAAATCTAACCATCAAGATTGACCGGTGTTTGTGTGTGTGTGTGTGTGTGTGTGTGTGTGTATTTGTATGTCTTGCACACTTGACCACTCCTGGTGTCACACTGAAAATTTCAGGTTTTGTAGTGAAGAGGCTATTTGGCACAAGTAGTATGCATTCAAATTTCTTCAGCGACCCCGTGTGTGTGTGTGTGTGTGTGTGTGTCTGTGTGTGTATGTGAGTGTTTGTGTGTGTAGCATGTCTTGACTCCTTACAGAAATCAAGAACTGGTGAGAATAAAGGAGTCATTTTCACACCTATAAATGTGCTGTTTCCACCCTTTCCTGCAAAGAGCTGACAATGACCTTACTTAAGTACAGTTGGTGCCTCTCAGATTGAGGAAAGGGTTTGAGGAGGGAGCTTTGACAAAAGAACTTCCTAAACTCATTTTCCTAAATATACTACTATAAAACCAAACGAAAGAAGAGGTTCTCAAACTGAGAGGTTCTGAGAGAGCCATTGGTTAGACTTCAGCCATCACGGATGTTGACAGCCGCCTTTGCCTCACTCATCTCAAAAACCCATTCTAGATGCCAAGTAAGTGAATCTTCTGGGTAAGAAGATTGCATTCTGCCTGAGGAACACAAATAGCAGACAGTAACTCCTCTGCCCTGTTAGCTCCTTTCTATCCCTTTGGACTCCCTGAAGCAAGAAAACCGGCATTTCAGCATCAAATCCCGGTGTGTGTGTGTGTGTGTGTTGCAGGACGGTTCGCGCCGAAGGGGTGGGGGTGGGGGGCTGGATTCTGAGCTCTACAGTATTTCTATTCCCTCCTACTTCCCACTTCTGCATCCTCACTAATAAGGAAATGGCCAGTGGTCTCGCGGGGTGAGAGGTGAGGCAGTTGAGTACCCTAAGGAACCAGAACAACTGTGCAGAAGAAAGGATCCATTGTCAGTTCCAGCCCGGCGCTCTGACCCAGGCCGACCCACCAGGGCCCCGGGGCCAGGGAGTGTCTGCCGCTTTCTCGCTCTTGCCGCAGGCCTTGACATCGCACTGACAAACCTTTTTTAGCCTTCCAGGAGAAATAAGGGTACACCCCAACCTTCAGAGGAGGAGAGTTAGTTCTGGGAGCTCGCCTCGGCTCCATCACTCCAATTCACACGCGCGCACACGCAGGTGTGTGCACGGGTGCTGGGCGGGCTGGGGACGAATCCCCCCGCGCAACTCATCTTTGCACATTTCCAGGACCTCCCTCGTCGCACTCCTCTGGGGGACCTGGCCGGTGCTGTGCGCTGGGGACCCAAGGCGGAGCTCGCAGAGAGGGGCTATGGGAGACTTTGGACGTGTCCAAGGACGCGGCTAACGCCGACAGCCGAGTTTAACGCAGCCGCTCCAACATCTCGCCCCCTCTCCAATCTCTCTCCCTTAAGTACCTGCTCTTAACGGCAGTGGGTCGACGTGGATGAGAAACACCATTCACATCCTTCTCCCTACCCTCTACCACCGGAGGAGACAGGCAGTGTAGACACTAGAGGACCACTGCTTCCCCTTTACCGCGGCGGAGTGGAAAGCGTGGGAAGCGGGCAGCCTGCTGCAGGGTTCAGCGAGAGGGAAGGCCTGGGAGAGACAGAATCTTTCCCCTCCCACGCCCTTGGAGAAATGAAAGCGGCAGCATACACCCCCGCCCTCAGATTCCCCACTCCCGCTAAATCCGGGCGCGCGTAGAGCCCGGGGCAGGGTGGCCGCCGCAGCATCAGCATCAGCTCAAGCTGCCCACTTCCGCGAACTGGCCGGCGGCGGTGCGGGCGCTCCAGGCTGCCCTCCCTCCTCGGCCCCGGGGCGTCTGCCAGCGTGCGGGTCTCCGTCAGGCTGAGCGTGCGGTCGCCCCTCGCAGACGTGCTCGTGCCAGCCCGACCGCGGCGGCCACTCTAGCTGGAGGCACCGGGACCCGAACCCGCTTTTCCGAGCTCGACTGCGGACGAATCCTGAGGCCGCGCGTCTCGGGAGAAGCGGCCGCCGTGCGGCGCGGAGGGATACACCTCGGCCGCGCCTCCCCTCCCCGCGCCCCCGCCCCCGCCTCCCTCCCCGCCCGGCTCTGCTGCCGCCGCGGCGGCCGCTGCTGCTGTTGCTGTTGCTGCCGCTGCCGCTGCCGCCGCCGCCGCCGCCGCCGCTGCTGCCTGGATATAGTGCGGCAAGGAGCGGAGCTTGCAGTCACTTTGCGAGGAGGAGCGCGCGGGCTGCGGGCGGCTGGGGCACCCCGGGAGCGGCGGCGGCTCTAGCTGAGGCGGCCGTGGCAGCGGAAGGTTCTCTCTCCAGGGCTGGACTTAATAACTTTGGAACTGTCCTCCAGTGTCACGTCCTGAACATGAGCCTCCTCCTCTCCTTCTACCTGCTCGGGTTGCTTGTCAGTAGCGGGCAAGGTAGGAGTGTGGTGCTTGATTGCATTTACTTTCCCTCCCCCTTCCACCCGACCGAGAGGGGCAGAGGGAGGCACAGGAAGAATGAAATGAACGAACTAAAGTTACAGTTACGGTCGTTGTTAGGATTATTTTCACTGTTTATTTTAGCTGCCGCTAAAAATTGTATCTGTTCTGTGGAACCCTTAAATTAGAGAAAACACAGAATTGGAGATTGGCATCGGTGAGCAGGAGATCGAGGCAAACTGCTTCTTTTTCTGGGATCTTGGCTTGCTCTGATTTTCATGATCAAAAATTGGATGAGTATGTTGGTGTGTTTTAACAGTTAAATATATGAGGCTGAGGAGGGAAGGGGAACGACGATGTTTTACAGAAGCAGCAAAAACTATCAGCATTAAACTCGTTTGTGACATATCTCTCGTGTGCAAGAAATTGAATTCTTAGAGACTCTTTTTTTTTTCCCTTTCCCAAGACCCCAATCCCTGCCTAGGAAGTGAACGATGATGGTTTATTTCTATTGAAACTAAGAGAGGGGCCATGGATGTTGTGTGTAAGACGGCAAATGGATAAAACTAGGCATGTGTTGCAGTCATTCATTTTCAGCACCCTCCACCCTTGTTAATCCATCAAGGTTGAAAATTTTTATAGCGTCAGATTGTAATTACACCTGTAAGGGATGTTTTAGCTTGTGGAGAACTGGTGACATTTTTATCTCTTGGGGGGGGGGGGGGAATGAATGCTTTACTAAAAAAACCTGAGCGAATTTGTGGAAGCTACCTCTATCTCTATAGAGGTAGATCTGAATTTATCTTGCTTTGTTTGGATAGTTCACGTCCACATAAAATATATTTATAATAAATGGAAACATTTTCAACTGTCCAGACAAGTTTGGACATTTAATTGGGAACACAAAATGCTAAAACATGCATTGGTGGAAGTCTTTAAAGAAAAAAGAAAATAGCTGTAATTTTGTGATGTGTAATAATTGCATAGAGTGTTATATTATTAGTATGGCACGAAAATTGTTTTTTGAGAAAACATAAATTACAAGACAAGTTAAAATATCTCCACTATATTCAATTCTAAGCATTTTCTAGCCTCTTCGGTGTTGCTCATTTGGTCCAGCAGGGGGTGGTAGAACTCCATTTTAAAGTCAGAAATGGTTGTTTCTGTTCTTCCACACTCACTGGGTCCTTCTATCATTCTTCAGCAGGGCTTGACATTTTGGATATGAAGCCTTCCTTTCTCTGCCCTCACCTCCCTAAAGCTATATAGTGTTAATGGCTGATGAAACATGATTGGATGCAGATTTTATGCTCAGAAATCAGAATGCAAATACTGAATGTTGCTGTAGTTTATAAAGTGTCTTGGTAAGATGCTGCTCATTTCCCCTTGATAATATAGAGTATGCAAAATTTCAGTCATAGAAAAATTGCAGATATATCCATCTGAAGCTGATAGTAGTCCAGTTAATTAAATCACTATTATAGCAAAGATCAACATATACTTTATGCCCTACAGATATGTTGCTTTCATTTTTGCAGAGCTGCTGATTATGTTTAACTGTTCATTTATAACATAGACAGGTATTAGTGAATCCTAAGAAGCAGTTCCTGAAAATTGCAGTTAAAATACCACTGCAATTAACTGAGTGTGGCTAGTGTGGAGTAAGATGGGGACATAATAGAAAGCAAGTTTATGCAGACTTATGATTACATTAGGGCTGGTTTGGAGAAGAAATATGTCTCAGTGGTGGAGTCTGTGAATTTACATTCATAGACACTAAGTGTGTTGGAATTTGGGGGACAAAAGAGAAATCTAGGAATGTTTAAATATTATACGCAGGCACAATTTAATTTAGATCTGTATATGTGACATACCTGAAATTTGTGATTCCCCTAATTTATAATTCAGAAAGCAGGGTAATTGTAAAGAAGGGCTCTAAAACTAAAGCATGCCTGAAAGGGAGCCTGTATTCACTGTCATGAAACAGGGAAGGCGGGGAACATCATTCGGAAGATCTCTCTATCTACTGCGATTTAAAAATGCATGGCACTCATAGAGGCATAGATGCACATCAGAGAAACTTAGCTTTTGTGAAACTGAACATGTAGTACTTCTGTGCCATGTCTCCTAATGAAGTCAGAGATGCTGGGAAACAGCAATCCTGATCTTGGAGTCTGATTCTCCTATGCCAGTGTTTTGTCCTCCAATTAAGGATGCAGAAGCAAGTATCAGACACACCACTGGAGCAGTTTTTGAAAAAAAGGGATCTAGTGTAACTCATAATTTTGTTTATTCTCTTATAAATGGGGCCATGGAAAAGCCTCCAGTTCGTGATCTCTGGGCTTACCTTAGAAATACTAAAATCCCAGCTTGCTGATTTATGTTTCCAACAATATACTCGCAGGGGATTTTATGAAGCATGATTGAAGCTATTGCTTTGGAAAGTGGTGTGCAGTTAGACTGGGGAGAGGCAATGATGATGTATTCCCTTTTAAGTAGTCAAAACGTTTTGAACTGCAGCAGTTGAGCAGCAGAAAATGACAGAAGTGAAAAACTGAGCAACTTAAGTGGATGCCAATACCATAATTAGCTAACAAGGTCTAATAGTTCTAACTTTCAACACAACATTATTGTTCTACTGTAGTGAGAGCCTTTTTTTATTACAGCAGGAATATGCCTTTAAAAGTCTCTCATTTCCACTGCAAGATTAATATCTAATGAAGTAAGGTTGGGGTTTAATTGTCAAGTCTGAATTTAATTGTCAACTGAAAGGAGATTCTATAAATCTTAACTTCTGCTATTATTTTTCTTTGTATTCAAAACTTGTTCACAGTCTCTGTCATCATAAATCTCAAGTAATAACCTGAGTCTGTGATTCACAGTGTATTTGCTGTTTGGATCTATGTAAACCCAATTGCCAAACTGTAATACGTATGTTGCTGCTTTCCTGAAGCTTTATCACTTTCTAAATTTATTGTCCTCTCTTTTTAAAAAATTACTCAAGTGTGATTAATAAACATCTATTAGTGGATGCTTATTCATCCAGTATGATGAATGCTTCTTATCAAACATAAATAGGATTTTTGTATGACACTGTAAGGTAAGAACAGAGCTCTTCATCTCTTTTGCAATCCAGTTCAACCATACAGTTAGAATACTTACCTAAGCCAAAATCATGGGGAGGGGGAGGTGAATTGCCCAGTTAATTAGTTGAACTTAAGGCTCTCTGCTTACATTTTCTCTTTCTGGTGAAGTATTAGTAAGTCATCGTTCATTAGAGACCTGTACCTTCTAAAAATAAAGCGTGGGGGTGTGTATGTGTGGGTGTGTGGGTGACTGCTAGTTTCACTTCTACAGGAAGTGTGGGTGTGTGGGTGACTCCTAGTGTGTGGGTGACCGCGAGTTTCATTTCTATAGGGAGGTCTCCACGAACCTGTCTTCAGTATAGGCTGTTCACAGACAGCCTCTCTCACGTCCGTTTTAATCTACTCTGCTCTAATTCTTTGATATCAGCCTCTTTTGGAACATTTCTATTGAATCAACTCCATATGCATTTGCACTTAGAGAAGACAGGCTGTGTGAATTAATACTGTTATTGTCCATGAGCCACCCAGAGGATTTCCTTTCCTGCTTTATGTCAAAGGAGTTAAACAGTGCATTTGGCCACTTCAGTTTCTAATGCTGAATTGGAGCCCAGGAGAAGAGCAAGAAGAGAAGGTGGTGGGCCCCTAGGGGGTCCAGGGAGTCTTTTCAATGACACAGTGGGCTAATGTTCTTCCAGAGGTAATGTCCCATCAGAGAAGCAATTAATGGAAGAAAATAACCTCATTCAGTACAAAAAGAAAGTCAAACTTCATATAATTTAGTAAATAAAATGGCTTTCTTTCATACATAGAGCTAGTTTGTAATGGGACTGAGAAATGCGCTATAGAAATCGAGGCTGGTAACCAAGCCTAACAGTGTCATTTGTTTTTGTCTATTTCCTTGGGAGGCAGGAATGTGAATGGAAACAAGGTTGCCAATCAGAAGGCCCCAAGGAACTAGTCTGTTGCTCTCTCTGGCTTTTGACATTTGGGAAATGATTTTAATTTATCTGTTTTCAGAGTCACTCTCATAGCAGTGAACTTTCAAAAGCGTGAAGAAAGGGATTGATAAGTGGTAGCGCAAGTTTGAATTGCTTTTGTTTTTGTTTGTTTGTTTTTGTTTTGGTCCAGAATTAAATGAGTCCTCTGGGTGTTGGTGTATGCAAAATTAATTTAATAATTTTAATATTCTGATAAAGGGGTATCATTGTTTTTCAAATTTTATTAATCTAGATTCTAAATTCCCTGTGACCTTAATACTCTCCCAATTATGCTGAAGATGGACCTATTTAAAATATTATAAAATAGCTTTAATTTTCCAAATCGTATGCTATGAGAACACTTTGAGATACCCCCAGTGCTTGTATGCTTTCATTAAATGTAATCTTCCTGAGCTTCATAGAGCCAAGGTATCTTTAATTGTTCAGCAAATAAAAGTGCTTCTATATGGCATTATTTAAAATATTTTAATAATTTTTAACTATTTACAAAGTTATAGTTATAATAGTGCTGATTCCAAATGCCTATCAACGTACTTCCTGGTGTCACATATGCACTTGGGCCACTAACAGTTCATCAACCATTACAAGGCATTTTAGAAAGCCTCGATCTAATGCAACAGACTTGTCTGAGTTTAAATAGTTAAGAGGTATGATAAGGAAGTTTAAGAGTATTTATAAGCATAACAATCAATAGATGACAGTTTTAAGGATTTCAGGTCAGTTGGTCAGAATTTTCTTGGCTCCATTTTGTTACTAAAAATAGCACGAAAGCGGAGAGAACGTTGGATTTGAAATCAGAAGATTTAGACCATTAAGTCTCTTGACTTTGAAAGAGTAACTTAAACTCTCAGAGCCATCATGTGCTTATTTGAAAATCTGACATAATTATCTCTGATAGTTGCTATACTGCCAT